GGCCTGCCTCTGTTAGGGGCGGCAGGAGGAGGGTAGATAGTACCCCAGAGACAGTGCTGGTGGGGAACTGGCTTTTAAGCCTGCTTCCCGCCAGCACCGGTTCCTGTCCCCCCTACCTTGCTGCCTCTCATGGATGCAGCGAGGGGGGGGAAGCAAGTAATTGACTACTATCTAACATTCCTTTTGCCCACTATGGCACTTCTGCTTTTGAAATGTAATGAGAGCCTCTGCCTGCCCTTCTACCCCAGAGACAGTGCTGGTGGGGAACTGGCTTTTAAGCCTGCTTCCCGCCAGCACCGGTTCCTGTCCCCCCTACCTTGCTGCCTCTCATGGATGCAGCGAGGGGGGGGAAGCAAGTAATTGACTACTATCTAACATTCCTTTTGCCCACTATGGCACTTCTGCTTTTGAAATGTAATGAGAGCCTCTGCCTGCCCTTCCCCCGTGGAGACAGTGCTGGGGGAAACCAGCTTTTAATGGCTCCCGCTCCACTCCCCCTTGCTGCCTCTCTAATAGAGGCAGCAAGGGTGGGGGGAAGTGACCAGTCAAGTCACTACTTGACTATCCAGTAAGCTTATGCTTATCGTATAATCGACTAGTCGCTTACACCCCTATCATGGGTCATTACTTTCTGTTTATTGCTGTGTCCAGCCCATGACTTTTACTAAAAATACCCCATGACCTTACAGATCAGCATAAATAAATAATATGTCAGATATCTTCTGACCAATCTGAATGAATTCAGATTAGTGAGGCAGGATGGTATTCTCCTGAGGATACTAAAGAAATTAATTGAAGAAATCTCAGAGCCTGGTAATAATATTTACAAATTTATGGATAAGCAGGAGAAGTCGCAGAAGATTGGAGAAGGGCTAACATAATGCTCATATTGGAAAAGGAAGCACCAGTGAACTATAGACCAGTCAGTCCGACTTTGATACCTAGAAGCTACTAGAGCAATGTATAAAATGTTTAGTTTGTGAATGCTTGCCAGGATGAAGGGGTAATCAGTGGCAGGCAGTATGGATTTATCAAGAACAAATCATGCCAAACCAGCTTGATTTCCTCCTTTTAACAGGGTAACCGCTTTGGTGGAGAGGAGAAATTGTGGTGGCTCTAATATATCTGGACTTCAGCAAGGCTTTAGACCAGGGGTGGGCAAAAGGGCTTCCGCATGCTGGATCCGGCCTGCGGAGGCTCTGCCACTCAGGGTTTGGGGCCGGGGAAGTGTGCAAAGTCTCCTCCCACCCTGTCCCCACCCTGCAAGGAGTGAGCGGCGCCTCGAAGTGCCACGCACTCCTGGCAGGGAGGGGAGGAGACTCCACACGCTTCCTCCCGCTCCTAGGCCCTGATTGGCCTGGGGGTGGAAGGAGTGTGCAAAGTCTCCTCCTGCCCTACGTGGGATGCGGCACCTCTAAGCACTGTATGCTCCTTGCAGGGCGGGGGCAGGGTCCAAGGAGACTTTGCATGCTCCCCCCGCCCCCAATCCCTGATTGGCCTGGGGAGCGGGAGGGAGCGCATGATATGTCCTCCTACCCTGCAAAGGGCTCAGCACTTAAAATCAATTGCCAGCTGCTGCTCAGTTGACTCTAACTGCAGCACTCTCTAGCAGGGTGGGGGCAGGGAGCGAGAGACTTCATGTGCTCCCCATCCCCAGGCCCTGATTAACCTGGGGCAGCAGGGGGGAGCATGTGTAGTCTTCTGCCATGGCCAGGGGCATGGGTACCTAGAGGGAACTGCCAGCTGTTTAGAACCTCAACATGAGTCAGCAATGCCAAGTTGTTGCAAAACAAATGCAGTTTTAGGTTGCATTAACAGAGACATAACATGCAGGGGACTTGAGGTGATAGTATCACTCTGTGCTGGTTAGATCTCAACTGGAGTGCCGGGTCCAATTTTGGTTACCAATTTGTTGAAAGGATGTCAAGAAATTGGAACAGATTCAGACTCTAGCGACAAAGATGATCAAAGGGATGGAATGCAAGCCATATGAGCAAAGGCTGAAGGAACTGGGTATGTATGTTTAGTTTGGAGAAGAGTAGATTAAGGAGGGGGCATATGATAGCTATCTTCAGATGATTGAATTGCTGCCATAACAAATATGGAGAAAAGTTGTTCTCTCTTGCCAGAGAGGCAGAGCAAGGGGTAATAGATTCAAACTACAGTATAACAGATTGAAATTATATCTCAGGAAAAACTTCTGTACACTTTGTAAGAAGAATAGGACAATGGACATGGACCAGCTTGTCTTAAGAGGTTGTAGAAGCTTCTTTACTGTAGATTTACAAAAGGAGACTGGAAAGCCATCTCTCTTGCATGATTTGTTGTTTAAACCATCCATCTTGGCAGGGACCAGACTAGAACCCTTGTGGTCCTATCTAACCTTTTGATTCTATGTTTGCATAGGTTCTTCACCTGGGCTTCCAATGGAGCCTGTGGGAGATTCATGAGCACCTCTGCTGTTGTAACACTGGATCACATTATATTGAAAAGGCTGAGAATCATTGACTTGTCTTATTAACCTGTTATCTGTTTAACAACACTTGAAATCATGTGCCAGCTACATTAATGCATATTCTTGTTGTTGCTTTCTTTGTGTTCCCTCACTAAATCTCTTTTTGTTATATCCACTGTTGCATCCTAAATTAGATTGTGAGCTGTTTAGGACATGGACTGACCTTCTCAGTTTGTACAGCACCTAATACAGGGGCGTTCTAATCCCAGTTGGAAGGTTTAGGCTCTATATAATGCAACTACAAACAACATATGATACTGTTGTAATCACAGAGTGCAGTAAACTGAGCTATCTTAGATTTTTTGTTTGATAGTAGTTTTCCTGCTGTTTCATAAGCTCCATCAACATCATATATAAACTGTTCAGAATGAGATTCTGGGCAAAAATCAAATTGTTTTCATTCCCAGAATACATGTTCTGGTCAGTCAGTTTGCAGAGAGATTTGTTCCTCAAGATTTGCCAAGGATTTTAAGGTAAAGAGCTAAAAACTATAGCATGGCAGATTTAAATTAAATCTCCCAGAAGTGCTTTAAGACCCACTAAATGTGGGCATAATTTGTCAAACTAAATCCACTCTTTCATTAAAGTTTTAGCAAACTAAACAAATTCAAAGGCAGGATAGATATCAAAGAACAGAATCCAAACATGATACTCATGGAGTGCTTCTGAAGCAGAATGATACATGTTTAATGCTTCTTTATTTCATAAAATTTAATTCCTGTTATAAGTGCAAATCTGAATGCAGCCTTAACTATGAAGATGGTTAGATTGATGGTTTCTGATTTAGGGAAGATAGCTTTGGGGTGACTGATAGTGGTTTTGCAGTTTGGGTGGTGATGAGACAGCAAATTTGATGGTTTTAAAACTTGGAATGACTATAATGTTACCTTTAAGTTTCCTTCGGTATAATTACTTAAACAGTTATGGTGAATACATTGTTCTTAGGCTTTTAAAAATATATTATTTCTAAGACTTTGAACTGTGTGTGTACCTAATCTTTTAAAACCAAACTGGTTTTCAGAAAAATACTGAAAACTAAATCTGTAATCTAACAGGTATGGGGAGGAATAATGCATCTTCACTATATTAATGCCGCTGAGAACTTATTCACAACTATAACTGCAAATCTAAATTTTACCTTTATTATTTAATACTAACACTTGCAAAATTTGAAGCACTACGAAGTGCAGATTCAATAAAATAATGTATTGTAAATATTCTTAATTTAGAGATTGGTTCAGAATCAAGTATTCAAAACAGTGCAACTGGCACTTGAAATGTTAGGAAATTTAGTTTTGGTGAAAATAGGGATGTAAAGGAATAGTAGACGACTACCCAATAAGCACATGCTTATCGGGTAGTCGAGTCGACTTCTTTCATTCCCCTCTCATAGTACACACACAGCCCATTCCAGCCTAAAGAGTTTAGTCTGCAAGCAACAGATAAAAAGGAGAGAGAAAAATATGCAATGTTTATTTATTTTTTTTAAAGCATACCTACTTCACTGCTCACTCATTGTTACACAGTATCTTAGAGACTAAGTCAACATTAAATTTTATATATTGCAAAATGTGCCTATGGTAGGTTAGATTTGGCATAAATTGGTGTAGTTTCCATTGACTTAAGGCTATGATCCATGCTGATTTATACAACATAAAATTCTTTTTATTAGTTTTTAGGTCTCTGATGTCATGTTCCTGAAATTCTTTTAACTATAAAGTAACTTCTGTAGAAATAAATCATGTACTCGTGTGGAAGGTTAAACACATTTTCTGTTCAATGTAGGTTCAGGTGCAAGTCCATCCTAAACTTTCCTCAGCTGAAGATGCATTACAGTATGTTGAAGAGTTAATTCTGCAGTTGTTGAATATGCTGTGCCAAGCCCAGCCAAGAAGCTTTCTGGATGTAGAGGTACAGAGATTATTTATCTGATTTGTATTTTGCAGCTTTAATTTAGGTTGCTGTGGATGATTATTCTAATAAATTAGCACTTTAAAATGTCATGAGAAATATATGTATGCATTGCTGTAGCCATATTAACCACAGGATATTAGTGATGCTGTGGATGAGTTAACATCTTTTATTGGACCAACTTCTGTAAGAGAGACAAGTTTTCGTGCCTACTCTGCCTCTCTATTGACTACAGTAGAATCATAGAGTTACAAACACCTTGAAAATGGAGGTGTTTGTAACTTGGAAATGTTCCATAACATGTTGTTCAAAGTTGTGATGTTCTTTTCAAATTTTACAACTGAACATTGACTTAATGCAGTTTTGAAACTTTACTATGCAGAAAAAAATGCTACTTTAACTGTCGTAATTTAAATGCAAGAAGCACAGGAACAGTTTCTATACTTTGTCAAATCTTTATTAAACTGTCTCTTTATTTTGTTAGTATTTACATTTAACACACTACTGTAAAGTATTTGTAGGGGAGTGGGTTGTCTTTGCTGCCTGATTGGTTTTGGTTCTAAATGAGGTATGATGTTGACCAGTCAGATTGTGACTCTGGTAGTCATACCTCTGAGGTCCTACTGTATGTACTATTATGGAAGTGAAGTGCATGGGACAAATATGGTACTTATGTGTCTGTCAGTGGCTGACCAAAAGTAGGTTTCGTGTCTCAAGTTCTCCTTAACACAGTAGTCACTAGGGATCTACTGGTAGATCTTGTAGCCTCTGACAGGTGATCCTGACTGGTTTATCCAGGAAGCTATCAAGTGCAGGCACATGAGTTGCAGCTTAAAATTTAATCAAATTTGCCTAAAAAGTTTGGCCTGCTTCCTGAACCCGTCCCGGCCCTAAACCTCCTCCTGCACCGAACCTCCTACCCCAGACGTGAGTCCCTCTGCACCCAAACTCCTTCCCAGAGCTTGCACCCTGAAACTCCTCCTGGATCCCAGTCCCCTCCTTGGGCTGAGCCCAGAGCCTGCACCCTAGCCTGGTGAAAGTGAGTGAGGATTGGGGGAGGAAGGAGGATGGAGTGAGCAGGGTGAGGCTTTGGAGAAGGGGTGGAGCGGGAGCAGGACCTTAAAGAAGGAGCGGGAAGCAAGTGGGGCAAGGGTACTTGGGTTTGAGGTAGAGTTTACATTGCACTTAAATTGAAAGTGATCTTGTGGTTAAAAAGTTGGGAGACCACTGCCTTAACATGTCCAATATTTTAATATCTAATGTCAGTCAGCACCAGTATAATTATATGAGTTGTATAATATATATGAATACAATGTGTATGTAGCGAACCATACATAATACATATTATCACAGTTCTGGAGATGTCTACAGCTCAGACTCTGTTGTGACCTCCTGGAGAGCATCCCATTTGAGTCTGACCTCTCTCTATCAGCTTTCTCTAGATTGAGTCCTGTGACTCTCTCCCTTTAGATTGGGGCCTTATGCTGTAGAGTGCTGAATTTTACTGGGACTGCCTCAACAGGTCTGATTTAAGTTCAGCACCCCGTTCTCTCAGGGCCAGTCACAGAGTTAACCATGAACAATTTTATCCAGGAGTTGGCTTACTAGGCAGAAAGATACCACATGACATTTATAAAGCAGATACAGTAGTCTTTGAATAGTTGATGTGTAACCCTTAGAGGGCTTCCCCTCAGAACTTGAGCTAGAACTCAGAATTCTGTATGTACATTAAAACATGGTTGCATCAAAATAAATTATTCCTTTTAAGGAATTGCTTTTAATTGTAACAGTGGAATATCTATCTAAACCAGTATACTATTGCTTAATGCATTCAGATTATGCACTGAGCCCTTAGTGCATGGTTTCCCAAACTACGGGGCGTGCCCCCCCTGGGGGAGGGGGAGGGCGTGAAGAAATTCCAGGGGAGGCACAAGGTTACCCATGCTCCCGCCCCCGTCAGTCCCCCCCAAGTTCTGCTGCTATTTTTGTTTTTCATCCTTAGTCAGTTCTCTTTTTTTTTTTTCCCCCTCCACAACAAAGTTTTCTGCAGTTTTGGGGGGAGGCCTGAGGGTTTCTCAAAAATCAAAAAGGGGGCGTGATGCTGAAAAGTTTGGGAACCACTGCCTTAGTGCATGTTTTCTGTCTCCTAAGGATCGTGTTCAAAAAAGTTTTCCCCATCCTATTGATAAGTGGGCAATAGCTGATGCCCAGTCTGCTATTGAAAAGAGGAAACGAAGAAACCCATTATCTCTCCCGGTAGAAAAAATTCATCCTTTATTAAAAGTAAGTATTCAAATAATAACTGATTACCTTGATACTTGCAGTTAGGCAAATATGTCTTGTACAGAACTATATACAGTAGTTTTAAGATTGACATTTTCATTCATTGTCTGTATATTGCCTGAAATAGAACTCAAAAGGACTAAAGCAAATCTTATAAAGTATGTAATATATCATTATCATTGTAATGTTTCTATTTCAGTTAATTGCATGCCTGTTAAATACGTTCAGAATTGTGATTTTATATCCCAGAAGTTCTTTTAACTTCTTCTTTGAGTGATTCTACATGTAAATTCCACTGGAACTTTTCCCCTCAATGATGCCCGTCTTAGTGGCTCAAACTTTTGGCACCAGCATAAAGGGCCTATCCAAACCTGAGCTCCCTCAGTTCCTCATTACTTTCTGTGACAGTCACTGGAACAGCTCTTCCTGATTCTGCAAGTACTCATAAGAGAACACAGAGTACTGAATTGTATTGTGAATAGTTTAGTGTTACTACAGTTTAGTGATTGCTTGGTTAGTTAGGATTTTACCCTGGCTGAAGTTTGTTGATTTCTGACTCTAAGAGATGCCTTGGTCACCAGGCTTCAAGCCCTGTGTTTCCTGGAATAAGATGCTTCCTGTGAGCAACCACACTCAAGTTGCTTTAAGTGCCTTGTGGAAGCTCTTATTGGGAAGCATTGACAAATTTACAGGGACATTATGAAAGCAAGGCTCAAGTTTTTACTATGAATACAACCTTAAGAGCTCCAGCTGAGCCAGGTTGGTCAATCTCATCACCAACACCCACAGCATCAGTAAGGAGTGTCCCTTCTACTGTACCTGCATCCTGACACTGTTTACCTGCAGACTAAGAAGCAGATTGCTAAAAAGAGAGATCCCTGGCACGGAAATCTGCATAGGTATGGCATAAGAATGGTGTCTTAGTCTAAGCATTCCTCTGTATTGGTAAAACAAAAGATAGCACCACTGACCCCATCGAGTCCAGAGCCAGGAGGAGCTCCTTCCACACCTGTGGTATGTACCTTACTGCTAGTGTCTTGGTACCAATCATGCCAGAATCATTTACAGCTGCCAGGGACCTCTGGACCCTGATGGTGCCAGCAAACAGAGGAGAATTAGCAGGATTGCTACTGTGCTCAGTACTATGCCAGCTTCATGTACTCTTGACATTTCACTTTTTGGTACCCTCTCCATTTCACTTTTTGAAAAGGAAAACCTGCAGAGCTCATTTCTCTGTGAACCTCTGGCACCGTCTGGCATGGCATCTCTGTGGTCAGTAGGAGAGTCGTCACTTTCTTCTGAATCAGAGGGTTGGTCCTACATTTCCTGTCTTTGGAGCCACTCTTATTAACTCTTCTTTAGACATTTCCACCCTTTCCATGATCTGGTCAGAGGAATACCATAGAGTGGTTCCCAAGGAAGTCACTAGGGACACATCCAGTTGCCTTTTTGGAATCTGTGGGGCCTAATTTATACTCCATCCCAGTTTTCTCTCTTTGAGGTATTCATATCAATCAGTCAGTTTACTTACTTGTATTTTATTTAAATCACATGCAAATATGGATGAGCTACTGCTACAAACCTTGTAGAACACCACTTCTTCTCTACTGTCCATACATAGGACTAACCCCACCCAACTGTTGGTGACAATAGTGGACAGAATGAAAGATCTTCCAGTCTCTTCACAGGGAATTTCATCTTAAATAGCTGTTGGTGTCTGTGCTTGTTATGATCTGACAGGTGCTTCACCACTGAGTGGGCTCCACAAGATCTCAAGCATCCTCAGTGGCATTCCTAGCACAGATCCCTCACCTGGACATTTGTAAAGCAGCAGCCTAGTCATCGGTGCACACTTTCTTCCCCCAATGCACCATCACCCAATAGTTTAGAGGCGATGCCCAATTTGGACGAGATGTACTGCAGTCTGTCTCTGCATAAACTCCCATCCCACCACCCATTTAACTGCTTGTCACTCACCAAGAGTGGAATGCACATGGGCAGTCACTCAAAGAAAAACACCTTTTGTAACTCTTGTTCTTTGAGGTGTGTTGCACATGTCCTACCTCTCCACACTGGAGTTTCTGGAAAGAAGGAACTTAGAAGCTCAGGGTCAGCTGGGCCCCTTTACTGATGCCAGCAGAGGGTGATCAAGCATCCTCAAATAGTACCAGACATTTTTTCTTGTGCGTGGAGTGCATGCACATCAGGAGTGGAGTGGACTGGACATGTGCAACACATCTTGAAAGGTTAGTAACAGTTTTGGGGAAAAAGAAATACCAAAATTCTCATGTGCCAAAAATTTGCAGTGCTTTCATTCTAGCTGTGTAATGAAGAAAATTCAGTGTTTTTAGATTATGCCAAGTACAACTGGTAGAGTTGTCGATATTTCAGAGTCAGTATGAACCACACAGTGCTATCTGTGATACCGCTGTTGTTTGTATTGTACATCTAAAGAGAAGTATTTTAGTATTGCCTGTACTAAAGGTACTATGGTGGACAGATACTGACTGTTTAATGACTACAGTGTATTGCACTAAACATCGTATTTCATAGGGTTAGTCTAAAATACATAAATTAGTTATTCAGCTGATTATATAACACATTTAATGATGCACTTTTTTTTCTTTTAGGAAGTTCTAGGTTATAAAATTGACCACCAAGTATCTGTTTACATAGTAGCAGTATTAGAATATATTTCTGCAGATATCTTAAAGCTGGTTGGGAACTATGTACGAAATATAAGACATTATGAAATTACTAAACAAGATATTAAAGTGGCAATGTGTGCTGATAAGGTAGGTGGCATAATTCATACTTATCAAATGAATGGAAGAAAAACGTTGCAGTACAGGTTGGACCTCGCTGGTGTGGCAACATCCGTGGTCCAGCATGATTTTAGTTAGCTGGATGTCCATTTATTATGGGTGTGGCCAAGTTTCCTGGGGTCACAGTTTGTTTACAGCCACCAGACCTGGCTGTTATTTAGCTCTAATTTATCCCCAGTGTCTTCTAAGAGCCCAGCAAGCCGTGGAAGTGTTGGTAATGCTGGTAGACAATATTGACCGCCTTTGGTTTGGCAAATTCTCTGGTTCAGCACTGGTCAGGTTCCAAGAATGCCTGACTAGAGAGGTTCAGCCTGTATTACATTTTTAATCAGATCTTGAAGGGTGTCTAAAAATCTCCATGTTGACTGTTAGGTCTTAATCTCAAAATAACAGTATTTTTAAAAGTGCCTCCTTCCCTTATTCATTTCTTCCGTAGCCTTAAAAGGAAAGTGAAGTACCTTGTGAGACCTTAGTAACCATTAAGGCATGTAGAGCATTTCTACCCTACAAATTTTAGTTGACATATATTAGGTTGATTTACAGCTATCACAGTAATTACTGCAGTGTTTCATGTCTGCGCTACCTTCCTTCTGTCAATGGTGCATGTTCGCACAAGAAGCAGTTCTGTTGAGAGCACGGTCTCTCAGCTCTGCTCAGCTCCCTCCCAGGAGCACACCCTGCCCTGGGCCCCTGGTGGGGAGGAAGGATCTGGGACAGCAGTGCAGTGGGGAGCCAGGACTCTGGAAGGGGCAGGGAGGCCCTCCCCCTGCTCCCAGTACTCGAAGGGACAACCCAATCTAAGAGTGCTTTCTTGTCAGTTTCATGGCTCCAGCATGAATCCCTGAAATTGAAAAGAATGACATCCAACAGCTAATGTAAGTAACCTGCTGTGTCTACACAGATGCTGCCTTCCTCTCACTACACCAACATAAGCCCTGCATCTCTCATGGAGGGGGAGTTATGTCAGCATAGTAGGGCACTTACATTAGCAGGACTAAGGCTGTAATTTTGTACAGTGACATAATTAAGTTGACGTAAGTGGTCTTTCATTGACTTTATTCTGTAATGTAGACCAGGGCTTGGTAGTATAGGGCATCTGTCTTCATCACAGTTGCTTGTAGATCAGAGGTCTCAAACTTACAATCTGCAGGCCAGAGTATATTCACAATCTGACGTTCCCATCCCTGTCCCCCAAAGCCCGCTCCTTCCCACCACCACCTCACCCTCTCCCCCTGATTGTACCCCATCCTTAAAGAAACAGGGTCTCAGGAATTCTTAGGGGCCTGGTGCAGGACAGCAGCAGTGGTCGGGCCCTCCTGCACACCCTGCAATGGTGGGAGCTGTGGGGAAGTGGAACATAGCACAGTGAGTGCACATCCTGCACATGCGCCACTTCTCCGCTGCTCTCACTGTGAGATGTGTGGAGGTTCCTGACCATTGCTGCTGCTGCATGCTAGGCTCCTCCCTCCCTGATAATTCCCCAGGCCCGGTCCTCGGGAGACTGGGGCGCAATGGAGAGGGAGAGAGTGGGATTGTGGCAGGAAAGGGCAGGACTTGGGAGGGCGGGTGGACATCCTCCTTCCCGCCCGAACCGCATTGCTGATACACTCCGGCCCATAGATGAGCTTGAGCCCTGTTAATGTAGACACAAGAATGGATGTTCAGCAGAAGCTTGGGTACCTGACAAGTGATTGTGGTAGTGATGCTGATACCATTGATTCTTTCTTCGAATCTTCTGCCTCCTTCAGCCACTGGTGGGACTGTACAATGCATTGGCCTAGAAACCGGACTGAGCTGAGTTTGAATACAAGGATGCCTACTACACTACAGTTACACTTCTGGAGAATTGCGACAACCCCATGCAAAAATAGCAGAAACCTTCTGGGTTTCTGAAAGGCTCTGAAACAAATGTTCAGGTGTTTGCCCTGAAGGAACAACCTGCTAAAGGGAGATTTTTGTGGTTCTGCCTTACTCACTACAACAAACACAGACATGGCCCATACAGCATTCCCAGCCTTATCATTTAACTCTGAGACAGCATGAGGTTCTCAGTACCTGCCTGTGCTCTGTCAAAGATGTCAGCCTCTGTGCATTAGTCCAGTATTCCCTCAAGTACCTTCACGCTGTACACAGCCCTTTTATGTAATGTAATCCTTAATTTCTGTCCATAAGCATCTAAATGTGATCAGTCTCAAATGTTATCAGCTATATTTTCTTCTTTCTGCTTCCTCCCTGCCCCCACTCTAAATGGGGGACAGACAGATTAACCAAATTGCATATCTCCAAGCATTTGTTCATCTGGACCCCCTTTGCAGGTGTGTGTGTGTGCCTCATGCATCAATCTGACATGCTGTTCTGTATTGAATATAAAGCATAGAACAAACCAAACTGCCAGTCAGTTCTTTCTTGTAGCTCTGAGTTAGAATTAGAATGATTGATGCATAGTTCTTTTTAAATTGCTTTTCATAATTCAGTTTCCTTTTTACCAAATCTGTTCAGCCAATCTCAAGACAATGTAGAAAGCCTCTCATTAATTGTATTCAACTTGATCTTTTATAGCAGCAACTTATTTCCCCTCTGCCAGTAACTTTTGTATTTGTTTTTTGTGTATATTTAAAGAAACCACTAACTTTCTCCAATTTCATTGTCACAGGTTTTGATGGATATGTTCCATCAGGACGTAGAAGATATAAGTGCACTAACTTTATCTGATGAGGAACCCTCCACCTCAGGGGAACAAACCTATTACGATCTAGTCAAGTCATTCATGGCAGAGGTTCGACAGTACATAAGGGAATTAAATCTTATTATAAAAGTTTTTAGAGAACCTTTTGCCTCCAACTCCAAATTGTTTTCAGCTCATGTAAGTATTATAGATGTTACAAATGATGCATATCAAGTCTGCATTTGCATTAGTGTAAGTGAAAATTTCTGGGATCTCACTTTTGTCCAGTATAGCATCCCTATAGTATAGGAAGAACTGTCAGAAAGCCATCTGTTTCTAAATATTTGTTGCTCTAGCCAGAACTGTTTGTGAGCAAACAAAATACAATAACACGTTTTCTTTTTTTGGTGCTGCCCCTCACTCTACAAAAGCATCTTTTCTACCTCCCAACCCAGGAGTCTAGAACCTAGAATATAAAATTGTAGATCAAGGTGGGCTGAATGTCCTATACCATGCAACATTATATTCCCCATGCACTTCTCTGGCATCCTAGAAAGCCAATGTAGATCATTTGGAATTCTCGTACTGGCACTGGGGAAGTTGAAGGAAGTTTCTCCTGTAGCAATTTTTTCAACCTACTTGTACAACTACAATGTAAACTGCATTTATAAAAGCAAAAACGACAACATTGAAATGCACATTAAGACCCACATTGTTTGAATGCCCCAGTCTACCATTATTGTGCCTTTCTTCAGTTTGCAAAGTGTCTATTGCTATGTAGGCACTGAAATGCCTTGAAAATATAAACACAGACAATGTTGTGAAGATATTCAAGGACTCGGAAATTGGAAACCTACGTCACTTACTCTGCCTCTATTTTATGTGATGTTCTGCAAATAACTTAACCTTTGTGCCTCTGTCTGTCTGTCTATCTAAAAAAGTATGTGGGGAAGAATAAAAATATGTGTTAATTTTTGTAAGTAGGAGGAGAATCTGTGTTGATCTTTGTAAGTAGGAGTTTATTAGTAAAATATTTTAAGAACCAGTTATGGAAGATGCTACATAAATGAAAAGATTTAAGACTGTCAAGAATGATCAAAATGTATTCTTCAGGTCATAATCATGTTTGAGGAACCAGAAGGATATTCTTCCTCTTTGTTTGGCATTGCATAATTAAATAAAATTGCATAATTAGCTAAGTGCATGACTGGGTATAAGTTGAGGGGGTGTTGCAGAGTTTGCTGGTTTTTTGAAACAGCCAAGTGCTATCTATTTTTGCAACATTGTATTATGTGGGCCAGCAGTCTGTCATGCTATGGGAATTGGAATTTGTTTTCCTCTGTCAGTGCCATGCACTTTCTTAGCTATACCAGATCTCTTTCTCTCTCTCTCTCAATGCTAGAGCTCTGTGTAGTTGAATTGTCTTTTTGATTCTGCTAAATCTTTCCTCCACCTGTTCTTTCTGGTGTAAATGGATACTGAGCTGTAGGGTGAAATTCTGGCACCACTACAGTCAGTGGCAGTTCTGCCTTTTACTCATAGGGTAAGTCTACGCAATAGTGCCTACCTCGAAATAAGCTACACAATTTGAGCTATGCAAAATTGCTTTGTCTACACAGCACTTATTTCGAAATACATCGCTACTCCCCTGACTTCCTTAATCCTCATACAACGAGGTTTTCAGGAAGTCAGAGTAAGAAGCTCATTGATTCGAATTTATTTCAAAGTAATGGGCTTCTTTTGTAGACAGCGCATAACGTTATTTTGGAATGTTATTCCAAAATAACTGTGCTGCGTAGACGTGCCCATAATGAATAAAGTTAAGTATGTGCGGTAGATCTTGAGGTGAAGAGAACTAGATTACTTAAAAGTAACAGAGCTGACAACTTTGGGTCACTCCATCCATAACTTCATCTTTCTTTTCTGCTAGACTTTGGGTTTCACCAGTGGGTTTAGAACACAAATTGCATAGTATTATGATTTTTGAGTAATACTGTGTATTCTGCATAGGGCAGATTAACATTTGAGTTATTACTATTCTTAACTCAAATTTGAAATAGAAACCAAAAGGCAACACCTATAGGGAACTCCAAAAAGTTTGATTTGTTGATAGAAATAGCCCTATACTTACCTTCAACTGAACTTAGCAACTTACATTCTCTGTTTCTTATCCCATTATTTTTCTTCCAAATCTGAGTCAGTAATTTCTCAGCTAAAGCAAAGGTACAAGTGTTATAAGTAACAGAAGCAAAATGCAGGACAATGTAGCACTTTAAAGACTAACAAGATGGTTTATTAGATGATGAGCTTTTGTGGGCCAGACCCACTTCCTCAGATCAAATAGTGGAAGAAAGTAGTCACAACCATATATACCAAAGGATACAATTTAAAAAAATGAACAAATATGAAAAGGACAAATCACATTGCAGAACAGGGGAGGAAGGAAGGTAAGTGTCTGTGAATTGATGATATTAGAGGTAGGGAGATTGGGATGTTTGTGAGTTAATGGTATTAGAGGTGATAATTGGGGAAACTATCTTGGTAATGGGTGAGATAGTTCAAATGTTTGTTGAGTCCTTTTTGGAAAGTAACAGACAGACTATTAATTAATCAGTATTTATTAACTATTAGAACTAATTAAGTAGCTTGCTTTCTGTACTATATATTCTGTCTTATGGATTTAATTTCTCTCATCAACATTGATATTTATTGTCTGATGGTTCCATTTTTTTCTTCAGGATGTGGAAAATATATTTAGCCGTATATCAGATATTCATGAACTTAGTGTGAAACTATTGGGCCATATTGAAGACACTGTAGAAATGACAGATGAGGGTAGCCCCCACCCATTGGTAGGCAGTTGCTTTGAAGACCTAGCAGAGGTAAGTAGTAGTGTTCAAGTTGTTTCTGTAATATATATTTTATGTGCCTTATGTGTCATAGATCACTGGAATAATTAAAAAATATATATGTTTTAGTAGTTCAATACATCTTTGTTTATCTGTCTTGCCTGGCTACATTGGCACCTGCCTTCTTCAAAGAAATAGCCTTCGCAGGGCAGATTTTCCAAGGCTCTCAAGTTTTACCCTGCTTGACCTGCCCTTGATTCTGAGATTGCAGACTTGTTTGAGTCACAGAAAGGCTCTGGGACCAGTGTCACTATCCACTCATTATCCCAAGATATGATTTGAGGTTTTTTTTTGGAGAGGTAGGGATTCCCCATTAAAAGAACATCCCCTGGGATAAGAGAGGTATGGCCCCAAATATCAGAATCCCTCCTTATTGCCAGTGCATGCAGGTGGAGGGACATGGTGTTAGCAGAAATGAAATGAACAGGACGTTTAAGGGTTAGAAGCATCAGTCTTGGCCTTTAAAATCTGAAATCAAAATGGAAGTGTATGAGACCCTGCTTCTGCTTAGACTTGAGCATAAGTTTAACTTTACACACTGTCAACTAACAATGCATGAAGTTTATGCATGTGCTTACAACTTCTCAGGATCGGGGCCTAAATCTTTGTAAATGTGTTAACTAATAAAATCATATATAACATTTTCTCCTATATACTTTATATTTTACCAATAGCATAAGACTTTTTGATACTAAACAGTTTACAATTTACTTTGTATTCCTCCTTAGGAACTGGCATTTGATCCGTATGAATCATACGCTCAAGATATTTTGCGACCAGGTTTTCATGATCACTTCCTTAGTCAGTTATCAAAGCCTGGAGCAGCATTCTATTTACAGGTACAATAATTTTTAAAACATTTTTAAGAATACACCATTGTATTAAACAACACATCTATTGTTTTAAGATTAAAATAATTTTTGTTTCCAGTCAATAGGAGAAGGTTTTAAAGAAGCTGTTCAGTATGTTCTACCGAGGTTGCTTCTTGCCCCCGTTTATCACTGTCTTCACTATTTTGAACTTTTAAAGGTAAGAAAAAATATATTACTCTTTGAAAATGCTTTGTTTCCTATTGGCATTTCTCAATTTTAGTTACATCAGAGCTATGTATATTCTCAGTGAGGCATGTTAGTAGACTCACAGAACTTTTTATGGAAATGGAATGATGAATCATCTGGTGTAATGAAATCTAGATTCTATGCCATTGTAGATCTGTGTTTATAGAGAATGTTAGTCCATATTTTTATCTTTACTAGCTAGCAACTAACATCCTGGGTTTTTGTATTGAGTAATATTGTAATGATATTGTTTGATGTAGTAAAAGTGGATCCCTCAAATAGAAAAAGGAATTTTATTTCCTTGGAATAAGGGAGGTGGTGGAATCTCCCTCTCTGGAGATATTTAAGAACAGGTTAGATAGACATCTGTCAGGGATGGTGTAGACGGAGCTTGATCCTGCCTTGAGGGCGGGGGGCTGGACTCGATGACCTCTCGAGGTCCCTTCCAGTCCTATTATTCTGTGATTCTATGATTATTTTGCTTCTATTTTAGAAATAAAGCTAAGCCTGGATGAACAGTGTAATGGTCAGTGAAAATGAGACCCTCTGTCTTAATGGGAAAACCTGAAAAATGTGTATAATTTGTAGTTTTCTAAAGTTGATAAGCTTTTGTAAAGTAGTTATAACTCTGGTTTCTGGGTGAAAACTGGACTTCAGTGAAATTCTCTTTCAACCTTACACTTTTTTTTGCTCCCTTGAGTGGCTTCTGCACATTCCCACTCAGAGGATGTACTGATGATGCAGCTTGGATGTATTGTCAATGCATCAAGACTGTACTGTTGGCACATTCCATGAATGGGAATGTGCAGAGTTCATCTTGAAGAATTTAGGTTACAGGTGAATAAAATCAGGATTTTTTCCTGAGTGTTTTGTGTTGTGATGGACTATATATAAATATAAACTTGTACACAGTGATTGTTACAGTTCAAAGCGCAGGTGTATTAAAATTACCACATCATTTAAAAAAAAGAAGAGAATTAAAATCTAATGGACAGTAATCAAGAAAATAATAACGAAGAGGAAATTGTTCTCCAGCGGCAAGTAAATGATATGTGATGCTTGCTTTTCAATCCAGGCCTCTTACACAGGAATATGAATGAAATGTTCACAGCTCAAAATTCAGGGCCGTTAGACCATCTTATCAGCAGGGGGTACACATCTACCAGATAGAGGCATAATGATCACAACTGTCTCAATTATCCTTTTTTTTTTAAATCTGTTAATAAGAAAATCTTGTAGCCTTTGCTTCTGCACATTTGGTTCAACAGATTTCCTGGTGCACCTTTTTACTTAAATCTTTTTTTGATGCTTGTAGTTCACTCACTGTCAATGTCTTTACAGGCAGTCCCCGGGTTACGTACAAGATAGGGACTGTAGGTTTGTTCTTAAGTTGAATTTGTATGTAAGTCGGAACTGGTACATATTGTAGGGGAAACTCTAGCCAAACATTTTTCCAGAGCTCAGTTTTATTCTCCCACACCTCACTTCCCTCAGTCCTTTATTCTCAAGCTGAGGTGTGTGCTGAGAAAAGCCGCTCCGCGTCTCCCTGGTCTGCTGGGGCGGGCGCTAGCTTTGCGTCTTCCTGGTCTGCTGGGGGGAAGCAGCTAGTGCGGGGTTGCCTCACCCCGTTTGTAAGTAGGGATCTGATGTAAGTCGGATCCATGTAACCCGGGGACTGCCTGTATATTTATGGACAATGTGGGTAGCTTGTATATTTTTCTTGATTTATTTTTTGGCAGCTTAATAGTTTCATAAGAAGCTGACTCAACTATGAAAAGTACCTTTGGGACAGTTTCACTACACAGTATATGCATCTGTGTGTGTGTATGAAGAATCAGCTGTGGAGAATTCCAGCATGCTATAAGTAGTTAATATAAAATAAATAGAGGCAGAGTTGGCTTGTATTCATGTGAATGGTGCTGTAAAAGATAGTGCTGCATAATGCTATTCATTAACAATTTACTTCTGTTGTGTTGTCAGTGGAAACAGTTTACAAGATTTATAGACTTAAATACCATATCTCTGTTTTGGTTGGGGTAGACTGATGATGCTTTGGTATTGCAAGTTTTCTTTGGGTAGGATAATTTGGGAAAACTCACCTGAGAACTTCCCTGCACAAAAAAATACAATATATGAAAGAGTAGGATGCATATTCTCTGAGAAATGTATCTACTATATCATGTATTCTAAGGCTTCAGTAACTTGAAATGGTTCCTGTTCTAATGTATATAATATTGCAAGTGTACTGATACAGGGAGTGCAATACTGGACATTCCTTCCCTAAAAAAATCTTGCTAATTTCTCTTAATAATGTGTGTAAACTCAAGTTTTGTGACTTGATGGGAATTGCTGCATTTTCACAAATATCTGTGGTTGTTGGGATTTTACATGTACTTGTATAAGTGATGCATTGTCCAGTAAACTAGTTTCACAATAACTTCAATTGATTTCTTCTAGTATCGCTAGTAATCAATGACAGATCCCATCGATCCATTCCTAAAGTCTCTGATTAATATCTGGATTTCATCTTAACACGATTCTCCAGCCTTTGCAGAATTGTAAATTAGTTTCTAGTCCATGTGTGTTGGAAACATATTAATTTCAAATAATTTTCCCTGGGTCTCTTGCACTGTCTTAAGTCATGTTAAATCCTTCTGGTGCAACAAGGGCATCACAGGTAAGAATGTTATATTTTTCCTTTTCCAGCATGAAGGTATTGAATTTACATGCTGCTGGAGCTCTGCTGGCATACAGCTGTAGAATTGTATCATAATATTGTTTGTTTATTTATGCAAATTATTATATAGGGGAGGGAATTATTCTGGTTTTAATTTGAAAATAGCTGAGAAATCAGTTTTTGACAATTTCAGCTGAAAAAATGTACAGAATTTTCTCTTAGATCATGATGACATCATAATGAGAGTTTATCCATATACTCTTTACATTCAATATAACACTGTAATTGTTTGTCAGGTCACTAGTTTGTAAGGGAGTAGAAGCTACAGCAGTGTTTGTTGCCTTTCTTAAAATATACGTCAGGGTGTCATGCTGCTTCATTCTTACAGTTTATGTACAACATGTTTCTTGAAACTGAAGGCTGAGGTTTGCCTTACTTCTGGTAATTTACGCCTTGTATATTAGTAGGCACTTACTCATATTACACTATTTCTCTCTCTCTCTCTCTCTCTCTCTCTCTCTCTCTCTCTCACACACACACGCACACACACAAAACCATATCTGTGAACCACTGATGGCCAGCCCTCTTGTGTGCAACCACCCAGGTGCGCACCTTAGAGGGATGTCTTTGTGGACCACTTGAATGGAGTTGATCCAAGGGCTACAATTTGAGAACCTCTATTCTAATATTCTCAGGGGTAAAAATATAAATGATGCTGTTTCAGAGACCATATATAGCAAGGTATCCTGCTTTGGGCAGGGGGCTGGACTCGATGACCTCCTGCGGTCTCTTCAGGCCTAGGATTCTATGTATCACTGTCATTTTGTCTAGTCGCATTATAGATATGTAGAATGTTGGTAATGGTAAATATGGCCGGTGCTAAAAAGATGGTCTTATAATGTGGCAGTTCTCTTTATAGAGCGAGTCTTAGTATGTTTTTTTTCCTGATGCATGCAACAATGAAGGTTGCATAGATTTTCTTTTTCAGGTTTAGAGTAAGCTAAAATGGGCCAGAAATTGCTACTTCTTGGAACTTGAACTGCTGTCCCATGCTGTCTTAGTCTGGAAGGTCACTTCAATTTTTGTATAATTCTAGTAAGAGTTCTTAATATGTTTAAATAAACAGTACAAAAAGATTGAGTGAATTGTCTACAGTATTTGAAGAATATAAAATTTAGTAATGTGATAGTCCTGAAAAATCTCTGAAGGTCTGTATACAGTGGCACTTACTACATTGATTTATCGTTTGTTGTTGCTATATTAAAACTGCCCCTTTGAGTGGCGGTGGCTAAGTCTATATAGAAGGACTGTCAGCCTAGATGCCTCTACAGTGGGGGTTGGCTTGACCTAACTACATTGCCCAGGACACACAATTTTTCAAGCCCCAGCAATGTAAGTTGGTCTACGTAGATCTAATTTTTAGATGTAGACCAGACCTAAATTAATACAGGGGAATTTGTAATGGCTCTTACACTTACGTTGCTTAACACTTTCCTTGATAAAGAACTTTTGAGGCCTTTCTATCACCTTTCTGTTGTTTGCAGTGAACTTTGATGTTTGACATGGAGAGATGTCCCATGAAATTGTGTTCAACTTTCGTTGGCTTACAGGCTGTTAGAAAATGCCTTCTTTTCTTGTATTCCTCCAGAACATTTTGGCAGCATGTTTGTAGCTCATGCTGCTGCCCTTGCAAAAGCAGTCATGCTGGGAACTCTTAGGAGCTGTTAAAGCAGCTGAAGAGGAGAGCAGGCAGAGCAGGAGTCGTCTGATTTGGACATAACTCGTGACCTTAGTGTTCCATACTCCCCTGTGGAGACACCACATGAGGTGGGAGCATCAGAACAACCATACTAGGTCAGACCAACGGTCCATCTAGCCCAGTGTCCACAGTGGCTAATGCCAGATGCCCCCAGAGGAAGGGAACACAACAGGTAATTCTCATGTGATCCCTCCCCTGTCACCCATTGCCAGACAAACAGAGGCTAGAGACACCATTCCTACCCATCCTGGCTAATAGCCATTGATGAACCTAACCTCTATGAATTTATCTAGCTCTTTTTTGAACCCTGTTAAAGTTCTAACCTTCGCCACATCCTCTGTGAGAACTATGGATGTAAGAAGTTTACTGGTTACCCAGTAAACAGGCAGCTTATCAGCCTGCTTACAAGGTAACTGGTTAACAGGCTAGGCTGGAGTCCTGTGGCTACAGCAGGCCCAGCTGGAGCAACCCTGTGGCCGTAGTGCATCCAGACAGCTGGACCACGGCCACAGTGAGCTGTAGCAGCTCTCTACCC